TACTAATACTTACTCTTAGTATTTGATTTTTATTCCTATTCTATTTTGTTCAATTCAGTATTTTAGCATACATGTCCTTTTATGTAAATATTTGTTTTTTTTAGGTGTTTTGGTTAAGGTTTAACAACCAAGGCTTTTCCTCATCGGGTATCCCAAGCCTATTAAATATTCAAATATTTAATTTAGAAGGAAAGTTAAAAGCGTCCATACGCATATCATTTAATTTCTTGGATATTTGGATACTACGTATAATTGCTCGTACTGTTTGCATCTTTTATATTTTTAGTATGAGTGAATTAGGTGAGCGTGTTTTTGTATGTGACATATACTTTTGGTATCGGTATGGGATTCGACTCGGAACTTGTAACTCATTGATTATACTAATTATTAGGAACAAAATGAGTGGAAATGGTGTGATTTTTAATCAAACCACCCGTCATATATCAGTTATGAATGGAGTTGAATTCTCTGATTCCTTCATTTTCCGTCATGCTGATAAACAAATTGAACCTTTTTATTTTAGTAAATATAGATTAAAACATAGTTATATGTCCTATTTAATAATTCCTGGCAATGCTTTAAAGATTATCTTTTTTTATTTCCCTATTCTTTTTATTTTTTGATAATATCTAAATATAATAATGCTTTCTTAGTTTTTATAAAAGTAGGATGTCTTAGATATGCTATAATACATGTAATATAGATCATTATAGACTTATTTAAAAGTTGCAAATAGTAAGAACTTTATTGTGGACGTTGGTTCTACACAATTGCTTGGAAAGCGTTGATCATGGCTTTTATCGAGAACTAAACAATCATATCGAATGAATCCTTTAAAAGTCGCAAATCACTTTATACATGTGATTCGATTTGATCGAATTTGCAAAAGCTGATTCTTATAACAGCCTATCGCCTTCTTATCTTATTAATGTTTTCTTCATAGTCATTGCTTTGATATTTTTACTGACGCAAACGAACAATTTGAAACTGGTACTAGAAAAGCATTGGAATGAAATGAATATCAGATGTAGATTGTTACTTTGCTCTTATAAAAAAAAATTAAACTGGCATAGAGCACTGTAGTGGAGCAACACATAAGAGTAAGATATATATTTTTGTTTTTAACAATTTTAAATATATGTCCACATACATATGTTATAAATGTTCTATCTCGACAAGCAGAGTTATTTTCTAGTTTAAAATGGTTTATGAAGCTTTTGAAGACCATATTTTTACTGTTGAAGACCATATGGTGATACACGATTGTTTACAACTACGTCGTTTGCACTCTGGTGGAATTTTTTTTACCTGATTAACTTTAAAAAAAGACGAGTGACATTGTACATGTGAAGAACCAAACAAATACCCTTACCAGACACCGGAAAAGATTCCAGGATTTATATGGTGGCAATTTTGTTCGGCCCCTGCTTGTGAATATTGCGTCTTCTGATTTGTAAATGTTTTTGTATCATTTATCCTTGATGTCGTCCTCTTACGGTCATCATTACACATCGTTTTGTAAGCAAATGGGTTTTGATTTCCATGTTATGGCTTTACATATATTATATAATAGTGCAACACAAACGGCAGATTTGATGAAACTAACTTTATAATATTTTATTCATTATCATCTTGTTTTAATGATCAACAAGTATGTCTTTATTCAATTGTAACAATTGTGTCGCTTACGTTATCCATTTTGTTATCTGAGGTAGTGTTGACATTATTTTTTGATAGCTGCATCAGTTCTCATGGTTATATTATTGATTCTCTATTACAATTATAAATGTAAAAGTGGCATTCACTAGATATCTCGTTTCTATTTAATGGAGGTTTTTATTTGTTTACACATTCAAAAGATAATACTTTTGTCATCTATTATTCTTGTTCTTAACAAAAATATATGCATCCGGTCAAAGAAAAGAAATGGATGCTGATGATATACATGTAGTAATATAAGTGTTTAGAAAAAAAATAAAATCACAAAAATACTGAACTCCAACTAAAATTCAAAAGGGACAGACCCTAATCAACTGGCAAAATCAAAAGCTGAAACCATCAATCGAATTGATAACAACTGTCATATTCCTGAAATGGTACATGCATTTACTTATGTAGAAAATGATGGATTAAACCTGGTTGTAAAGCTAACTACACCTCACACTTGTATGACAGGCGCAATAAATTCCATTATATTGACATTGATGTGTGAACAAAACAAACAGACATATGTCAAAAATAGGGGAACAACAGTCAACATTGTTTTAAAATCTTAATCACTATAAAAACATACAAAAAAATGTAACTAAGAAGCACAAACATGATATATAGACCAAGCATATTAGCAAACATATGTATGTATAGAGAAAATCTGCCAGAGCAGAAATGTTGAGAATGTTAAGATGGACCTGCTGTTCATAACGTTAAAACTGTCAGACGAAATCTTGAAGGCGTTATTCCCCTTAAACATGTTAAATGATATAGTTTACCAATTATTTGCAGTTTTGCATATTATTCTTAAAACTATAATAATTACAAGGAAACTTTTGTAAGGAAAAGTTATCAGACTGACAAGATCTACAAAAAAGTTTACCATTTCGAAATCGTCAGAACACTCCTCATTGGCGTTATTGTCGATCTATGATGAATTTTGCCATTATTTTTTTATTAACATTGTTCTGCTCTGAACATTTTGGCAATATTTAACCAAACTTAGCTACAATCATCATTAGGGTGTACAGTTTAATAAAAATGCATGTGTCCAATTACACCGTGTGCAATCAAACATGGCTCAACATTTAACATAGGAAATTTGCCAAGTGCAATAATGCTGACACATTTTAAGATCTGCATGTTGTCTCTTCTTTTAACGTCGAAAATATCAGACAACTTCTTCTAAGAGGTATTGCCCTAAATTGTCATATGTTATTTTTTTTTTTATTAGCATTTTTTATCATTTTTGCTCTTTATCTTGACAATTATAGTAGATAGATTGATACAAAATTAAATCGCAAATATAATCATCAAGACACGACCTATGAAGAAATCATCTAGACTGAAATTTCAAGTCGACTCTGTATATGAGTTTTCGTCCTTTCAAAATGAGTTTTACGATGTTGTAGCTTTTGGCTTTTATCTTAAAAAGTATAATAGATACACATCTAGAGAGCAACTTAAAAAATGTGATATTCAGGTCAAGAGTAATCAACTCTTCATACACATAGTGTCCTTCTATCAACTTACGACTTGAAAATATATCTTATATTAGACATGTGTGTGTGCATACAAAGAGATGAACACATCCGGAAATCATAACGCGGGATAAAAATACATGTGCAATTCAGGCTAACGCTACGTTTCCGATTGGTTTACTTCAAAGTATCAGTAGACGTTTAACAATATATAAATATGTTTGTTTACTTTTCCGTTTTCCTCTGTTTGAGCGTAAATAATGCAAGTTTTCCACTCTGGTTTAAATCAAATATCCGGTAAATCTTTGTACTAACCGCACGTAACTCAGTTTTGTATAGAACATTACACCAACGGCTCTAACAAAAATTAAAACAAAACTGGGTGTCAATCTATTTGTTTTTTCTAAAAATATTAAATCCCTGAAGATGGGATGATGCTGTGGACAATGTTTGAAAAACGGCCTTACACACTTATCCTTTTATCACGAGTTGGTTGACCGTTATGGAATAACCGTTTCACAGATGATATCGGATATGTTCCTTATGTCGTAACTACAATACCCTTCCCTTTTCACGTATGTGACTTACCGAATTAGACTATTTACCGGATTTGTAATAACATAAGCAACACGACGGGTGCCACATGTGGAGCAGGATCTGCTTACCCTTCCGGAGCACCTGAGATCACCCCCAGGTTTTGGTGGGGTTCGTGTTGCTTAGTCTTTAATTGTCTATGTTGTGTCATCTGTACTATTATTTGTCTGTTTGTCTTTTTATTTTTGGCCATGACGTTGTCAGTTTGTTTTCGATCTATGAGTTTGACTCTCCCTCTGGTATCTTTCGTCCCTCTTTTAAAGGTTCAATGTATTAATTGTCATGTACTGCCAACTTGTTTAACCATTTCAAAAGTATTCAGTACATTTGCAAAAAAAATCACACCCACATATATCAGTATAAAGAGCATAATAATACTGAAAGATATAGTTCCTTACATTTTCTAATGTAATTTCATAAAAAAGGTCATTTGCCGATGAAATAAAAACAATTCCCGATAATTTGATAAAGAGGACTTAAAAATCATTAACATGGTTTTATTTGCAAAGCATACAAAGAAAGTCACACTAACAAGAAACATGCAAGTAATTTATGAGTTAAAAACTAAATGAACGTGAACAGTCAACACGCGTTAATTTTCAAGTACACTTAAGAGCCAATCCGCCAGAAAACCATGCAATATTCAGAAAATCGTCCAAATCGACAATCACAACTTGACAAATTTTTATACATCATCTTAATCCTTAACATAAAATAAAAGAATTTGACCACTTAATTTTTCCCAGAATCGTATCTATTTTTAGTAACAGCCTCATTTGCATAATTCTGTAAATTCATAATGAAACCAAGGAAAAATCCAACTTTTTTATGCCTTTTAAGAATGACCCAGAAGCATATTAAATGGGGTAGTTGAGTTTTCAGAGTAATGTCAGCTGAAACTCATCCATTTTACTATGTTATGATCAATACAAATGAAAATTTAAACGATTTGGCACATTGCCAGGAGCAGGGACACAAAGGCGGGGTTTTTCATACATGAATTTACGTGGTTTTCATTCGCTTCTATCTTGCAAGACCCATTCCGGATTTGTTTGCAACTTATATCGGTTTTAACTATGGGATATGTTTTATATCAAAACAAAATATTAAGCTTGGCAAATGACTATTTTATGTTAATTTATGCCTTGGAAGAATGGTGATTTTAGTCCCAAATTGACACATTTTGATTTTGATTTTAATTAAATTCTGAACACAATTGGTACTAAAATGGCTCATAAAATCATTCGAACAAGTAAAATCAATTTGTCTGAAAAATGAAATAAGACGTATTTGTACTGCAAGTCCAAAAATCAATAAATTGTCTGAAACCAGGGAGTCCATCTTTTATGCTCTTCCATTGACTTATCTCCCTTGGGTAAGATCTCAAACATGTCAGCTCCCAGTGATGGTTTGGCAGACAAATGTTTACAGTGAAGTTTGTGACTTTAATAATCTAGGATGAGCATGTAGGCTATCCCAGCCTTATAGATCTACATATTACAAACTATTTAAGATATCTGAATGCACTAAAGACCAAAATAGCATTTCCAAAAAAAATAATTACTGCCAAGAAATTTGACAATCATGACAATAATTTAGTGAATAAAAATGATAAATATTGATTGGAAAAATAATTCCATGAACAGCAAAAAGTGTCTTTAGATTTCAACGAGCAAAACAAAAGTATTCTAAATCATTCTTCGTAAAAAAAAAGTGAGCCAGTGGAACCACCTTGCTCGCACCAAAATTGAGATTGAGAGTGTCAAAACTGCTCTGGCGCACCATCAATAAATCAACGACACTCTCTCTACCGTGGTATTGAAACCAGCATTGGTAACCAAACATATTCATACAGATACAGACTACCATTCATCTACATTTAGGAAGTCTGAATAATACTGAAAACTATGGTGTAGAATTTCCAACAGGACTCCTTATTTTATATAAGACAAGGAGTGGTTTATTTTCCCATGGTTGTTACATCATCTTGTCTTTGAATATGCTCGAAGTACAGGGACTTTTATGGAATTCATTGACATGATAGTCAAGCAAGATGTCAACATCTCGTCCAACCCTCTTCCAGCAAAGCCAAAGCTGACCAAGGATCTTCACCCTTTCAAAACAGGCTGTATACAGGACGAGTTATTCCAGTAGGAACAGGTACAAATCTTACAATCAATTTTCATTTGTTCCATATAGTCAATCTGAAATTAGGGGACCAACAATTGATACATTAGCTAGATTGAAAAAAGGGGGGGGGGGGGGTGGGTGTTGAAGGGGCATGTGAATATTCTTTTACATCTGACCTGTTTCTAAGACATCTTATTTATTTCCTATGGCAAAGTGCAAGCAAATAATATATATCCGTATATACATTGTTCAGTCTTGGTACCATTTGATTCAAAAAGCAAGGGGGAGGGTTAGAATGGTCAAAATATTTATGTCCTTGTCAGCTTAGGACAGAATTTTAATTTTCAAGCTATTAACCAGGGTACAATATATATTTATTTACTGCTTTAAAAAATCAATTTATAGACCAGAATCATGAAGATAATCAAAATCTATTTCAACACATTCAACGTTTAGCAGGTCAGGTTTTTATTCTCTTCCCCTAAGTTATATTTTCAGTTCTTACTGGAAGTTGTTCAGCTCTTTGTCTACTAAAAAAAGTTTTATCTCGTGGAAATGCCTCCTACAAATACATGTTTTACATACAACAAACTGTACATGTAACACTAGACAACTTTATCCAGAGAATAATATTTTTTTAATGAACTAATAGGCCATGGAGACTAAAAAAATCAAAAGCATTGCAAACTTTTGTAAAGTTCAATTTTAGGACCCTACATGTACATGTATGTAGATTACTTATAGAGCCCTTTTTAAAAGAAAAAACATACATTTAAACTACATGCACAGTGATGCTACACTACCCTACATTTCCTGTCTGATATATTTTATTTCATGTAAAACAAAATTGGAGAATTATATTATAGTTTAACACTTTTTATTTGTAGGGCTATATATATGCAAGCAATGCTCAATTAAGATGAATTTTTGTAAAAGTGACAATAGCCAGGTCAAACTAAATACATGTATAGAGGAAGATATTGGTAAGTTATTATTAACTTATATATTAATTTAACTGTTTGTACAACATGGTAATCATACAAAGTATATGTAATCACTTATATAATAACATAATTATACAATTACATGTTATACATTTGTACATCAGTTTTATTAAACAGGTCTTTGTTAACTTGGTTTTCCCATTGAAAAATCACTTTGCTAATTTTAATTTGTAGTACTATATTGAGCGGCTCCTATAGTTTCCATTCAATAACTAACAATGACTAATGAACTGTTCATACATTCCATTTCAATTATTTTATTTATTAATACGTATTACTTTTACTGTTAAGTCTGTTTTTTGTGATATCCATTTTACGTGACTCTGTATTTATGTATCCCGTCATACTTTGAACGACAAAATTATTTTATGTCTACCTGTGCGAATTTCAAACGCGCGATTTTGCGCCAGTACTCAAAACCTTCCATCCTTTATGGGTGGATTTTACATAGATATATAAGATCGTATAATATAAGCAAAATGAGGATGTTAAATTTGACGTATGCCTTTTTGTGCTTCTTCGTTACATTTGTTTGTTTTTATAGTGATTAAGATGATAACACAATGTTGACTGCTGTACCCCTATTTTTGACAATTTTACCTATTGTGTCTGTTTGTTTTGTTCATGCATCGTTGTCAATATAATGGAATTTGATGCGACTGTCATACAAGTGAGAGGTTTATTATCTAGCTATAAAACCAGGTTCAATCCACCATTTTCTACATAAGAAAATGCCTGTACCAAGTCAGGAATATGACAGTTGTTATCTATTCGTTTGATGTGTTTGAACTTTTGATTTTGCCATTTGATTGGGGACTTTCCTTTTTGAATTTTCCTCGGAGTTCAGTATTTTTGTGATTTTACTTTTTCAAATATAAAAGGGGGAGATTTTTATTGGTACTTTTGAAGATATTTCACCTGTTCGATTAATTGATTGGTTGTTGGTAATGCTAATGTCCAATGGCAAATAGTTCATGCATGTTTAGGACAAGAACAAATTAAAATAAATACATTATTTGGGTTCTTAATATGCTAAATCTAACAATGTATTTAAATAATTTAAGATGTTGCAATTGGGCCCCATTTTAAATTGGTTCACATTGATTTCGAAAATGGTCCAAAATTTTTTTTCTTATTTCTACACAAATTGAATTCTTGAGGTTCTTTTGATATACAAAATGCAAATGTTTTATATTTAGATTTTTAATTTTGGTCCGGTTTTCAAATTTGTCCACATTTTAAAGTCCAAAGGGTCCAAATTTTAACTTAGTTTAATTTTAACAAAACTTGAACTCTAATTACAATGAATTAGGGTTCTTTGAATGATCAATAGAAATAATCAAATATCCTGAATATAAATATGTACTTAGATTTATGATTTTGGTCCCAGTTTTCAAGTTGGTTCAAATGGGGTCCATAATTTAACTGTGTTTGATTTCAACAATAATTTTAAAGATGCTGATTCAGCCTGAATCTAACCTGTATTTAGTTTTTGGGCCCTATTATGAAATTGGTTTACATTGAGGTCCAAAGGGTCCAAAATTAAACTAAATTTTAAATCTTAATTTGATATTGGGGTTCTCTGATATGCTGAATCTATTAAACTTTATCTTTATACCATATTTGTTCTGTGTTAGAAACCTATTCTTTGTCAAATATTTAATCCCAGTACAGATTTAGAGCTGTTATAGCTTGAATGTTCTGTCCAAACTTGCATTTTTTCTTCATCTTCCACAAAATTTGTCCTTTTCTGAGATAACTGGTGTTATCTTTTTAAATGAAACTTTAGTGAAAAGAAAAGCACAATATGTGGATATTATCTGATGTCAAACATTTTCAAGATGGCCACCAAGGATGGCACAAATTTCAACACTGGTTAATTTAATGAAACTTGTTAATAAGGGATAGTCGTGGTAGTTTGACTTGCTAAACAAAGTAAGGTTGTATATTCTTCCAAAATGGCAAACATTTTCAAGATGGCCTTATATGAAAATTGACATTAAGGAATTATAGCACTTTTGACATGCCAACAAAACAATGAAATTTTTTTTTAAAGATGGACACAGCAAATAAAGGGTAAAATTTTCAATTTTGTTGAGTTTGATTTTAAAGAATATTGATATTTAGCTGTACTTTGACACAGAGAACAGATATAAAGATGGCCACCATTTCAAAGATCGTCACTAAAAGCGGTCAAATTATCACCATTGTCTGTTTTCAATGTAAAATTATATTGAGAGGTAATTTGACATGCCAAACCAAATGGAGGCAATTTTTATTGTTGTAAAGATGTTAAGGGCTATTTGGACATGCTTAAAAGGAGTGGATAATAACTATTCTGCAAAAATGATTTGGCTTTAGTTGGGAGAATTTTGTAACTGCATCCACTTACAATAAAAGTTGTCAATTTTATTTCCTGTCAGTGGTATATATGAAATTAAAAAAAAAGTGGTATGATTGCCAATGAGAACAAATGACATAGAAGTAAAGCTATAGGTCTTCATACGCCATATGGACTTCAACAATGAGCAAGACCTATACTGCATATCTATTCAGCCATAAAAGGCCCCAAAATAAGAAAATGAAAAAATATGAAAACTAACAGCCTGATTTATGTATGTATGTTTTGTGGTTTTCAGATCTAGACTCGCAGCTAACCTTTCTGTCAGTGTCAACAACAACTGAACTTTCACAGCAGTCAACATCACATTGGGAGACTGATAATGCTTCTAACAGAAACAATTTCAACCAACCAAACAAGCAACAGAAACTTTCCAACTTTAAAACATCAGTTAAATCTTCCATGGGATGATGTCTCAAAAAATAACAGTTCATCATTTATGGAGATTTTAATGTTATGGTTTTTCTTTTACAAGAAAGTTAATGTACACTTGTTTTATAGTAAAACCTATAGCCGTTCAAGTATAAAAAAAACACATTCAACTTTATTGAAATTTGAAGATTCATATGACTTATTTTAATTCTGTTATCTCCGAGGATGTGATGTAGAGCATTATAGGTACAGTAATCTTAACAGCTAGATTTTGTTGTGTATCCAATTTCATTCAAAATTCTTATAAATTTTGCACTGGTATATATAGACTAAGTAATTTGTTTTTCGTCTAGTTATGGGATTTTTTTATACCCCACGCAATGAGTTGCGGAGGGTTTAATGTTTTTGACCCGCCCGTCCGTCTGTCCGTCTGTCCGTCCGTCCGTCAGTCCTTCAGTCCGTCAGTCCGTCAGTCCTGTTTCTTGTAATCGCAACTCCTCTCAAACCACACAACAGAATTTCACGAAACCTTTTTAGATAAGGACATACTATGTCGTTGTGCATATAGACAGGAAATTACGATTCAATTTTTTTTCGAGGAGTTACGCCCCTTTGAACTTATTTACTTTAATGTACTACTGCAACAGTTTGTCATAGCAACTCCTCTCAAACCACACAACAGAATTTCATGAAACCTTTTCAGGTAATAAGGACATACTACGTAGATGTGCATATCGACAGGAAATTACGATTTAATTTTTTTTCCAGGAGTTACGCCCCTTTGAACTTATTTGCCCAATATACTACTGCAACCTTTTGTCATCGCAACTCCTCTCAAACCACACCACAGAATTTCATGAAACCTTTTCAGATAATAAGGACATACTACGTAGATGTGCATATCGACAGGAAATTACGATTCAATTTTTTTTCCAGGAATTACGCCCCTTTGAACTTATTTGCCCAATATACTACTGCAGCCTTTTGTCATCGCAACTCCTCTCAAACCACACAACAGAATTTCATGAAACTGTGTAGATAATAAGGACATACTTCGATGTGCATATTGACAGGAAATTATGATTCAATTTTTTTTTCTGATACAATTTTTTTTTCTTACACTTATTTTATTTCTCCAATGACAATGTGGGGACGTGGGGTATGTGAGCGCGCTCACTAAGGTTCTTTTATTTTAGAAGCATATATGATTTTCATGTTTGTATTGACCACATTGCAGCAACATAGATATAGGTACCTGGCAAATCTTGCCTTGTTAGCATACTAGACTCAAAGGGTCATACAAAAATGTCCATCACTAAGTGTCTGTTAAAATCATCTGTTTACAGTTTTCACTTTTAAACCATCATCTTAATAACTTTAGAAGAAGTGTCATACATATATATATGTATACAAAATTGAAAAAACTTTTCAATATATATATATATATTGATAAAAACTATCAACATGACAAGATCTAAATACCCAATTTTTTTCTGAAAAATTGGACATAACATCTATGAGCTATTGTCCCTGAAATGTGTAAATTTACAAATTTTCACAGTTTTCTGCTACTATCCGACAACTATATCAATATATTATGAGAATAAATTGCAAAAGTGGTCAGAAGAAACTTTTTTTTAAAGTCTGAACTTATTCTGAATTGTTTAACTTCTAATTTAAATTGATTGCGTTTGAAATATGTGTTTTTTTATCGTTTTAGGTGCACAATTTGTCAATACGATCTATTTCGGCTCCTGGGAGCCTCTATATTTATAATGAATAATTTGTATTTATGTATGATTATTTTCTTAATGTATTAAATGAAACATTAATTATTCTCTTCCATTTGTTGTTATACTTATTTATAAGTCCAGATCCTATCATATGTCAGTAGTTACAAATTAGACGGCAAAATTGAGAAAATTTGAATATGCAGGTTACCCCATTTTATTGTGGCATATACCAGACACCAACATTATTTGCCGAGCTTGATATTTTTTTTGATTGGGTATATATAGTTATACTTTGCAAGTAGATATGTTGTTTTACAATAATAAACGGGTCTTGGAGTATTTTGGCTCTGAAAGATGACCAAAATCAGCCATTTTGGACATGTAGCTAAATAAAACATATTGAAACAGTTAGATTATACATACACTTAATAGACAGCATTGTTAATTCTATGCATTCTTACAGTTAAAGTGATGTATTACTAGGAACAACTATCAAAAAATTATAAATGTTACCATATTTTTTTATTTAAACCAGCGAAATATGCCAAAAAAGGCTTATTTTTGCTGTTTTCGAGCAATTTCATCTGTTAAAACATGGCGCTCAAAAAATATCCAGATCGGTTTAATATTTTCCCAAAAAAAAATGTGTGGTTATTTACATTACTAAGGTGCACCAATATGCCAAATATGAACTCATTTGGAAAAAATGACATTCGGACGGTTTTGCATGGTTTTCTGGCAGATTGGCTCTTAAAATAACTATAATGACGTCTGCATTGAAACGCACTTCAGTTTACAACATATTCAAAAAAACTCATAAATGTTATAGTTAACACTTGTTTTTTTTTTTATTATTTGTTTTCCTTTTTTTTAACATTTCTTTAACCTAAAAACTCGAATACTATGAGAAGACAATTGTTATATATATTCTCGGCATTAATATAATTAACGCAAGATCTCTTAATATAAATGGTTTGCACCGCAACATACTATCTTACGGTGACAAAAAGACAGACTGAAGTATTTTTTTCGGAGTTGTCGGATGGTTGGATTGTAACAACACGTCGATCAGTAACTTATTTGAATATCTAGGAAATGTACCAGTACAATAGTCATGTTACAATTGCTTCGATCGTTTATTTTGACCAAACCCATACCTTCATCTTCATGATCTTCTGTTGAACAGTTGAGAAAACAATGTATGCCAACATCTTCAGAGTGACGACAGTGTGATGTATCTTCATTGTAAATGCAATTAAGTAATCTAATAGTACTTTCTTAACCCGAGCACTTGACGTCATTTAACCAAATCAGACCGTGTCCATTCCGTATCAGCAATTTGGGTTGCATAATTCCTGAACTATAATTTAATGAAAGATTAAAGGGTTAGATATTTACTACTTTCCGTTCAGTGAATAATATTCTGTCAAATACTTTTATTATTGAGCTGAAAAAAATCATTTAAACAACTCTTCGTACAAGGCCGATAAAGAAATATAGAAAAATATTCATACAATAACCAAATTGATTCTGCATGAAAGCACAACTTGTTTTGTAATTGGTAAAACGGCTGTGCTGCTACCTATTCATAAAAAAAACAAATATTTCTTTTCGAATTGACTCTCAAGTGTTCATAGTTTTTATTGGGACAATTAGTGAACCATATACTCAATATACACACGGGACTTTTCCTTCCAATTGATGAATAAACATAAGCAATGAAATACATTACATTAATGGGAGACGTCATCACGTACAGTGGACTTGACGTCTTGATACCAATGAACAATCTAATGACAGCGTACAGATCGACAATAGGTCACAAAGGGACGGCAAAAAACCAAACACAATATCAATGACTTACACGAGGTCCCATACAGTATGTTGAATGGAAGAAAATACTTAACCTGACTTGCCGTAATGTCATGATGCTGCCAATTTGTCCGAAATACAATTTCGAAAAGCGAATATGATAAATCAATGACGCATGTATCATGTCATCTAGTATTATTTGATGTTATATATCACAATGATTTAAACTGCTAGTATGTCACCAAATTGTTTCCTGAACAATCTGTTTCGTCTGATCATTTGAGTTTCCATAAATTTGATATAAGAACAGAATTAAACAAATATATAGAGAATGTTTTTGTGAAATATAAACTGAAAAGTCACTTTACATGTTTTAAACATACTAAACAACACAAATTTACGTCATTGATGATTTAAACAAAGAGAAAACCGAACACGTTTCTTTTATTTTTTGGTTCACGAAACAAACAAAAAAAGTTAACCTCTGAAGTGAATATCAGCGTCAGTTCACTTAACAAAACACATAGTAAACACTTGTGTTCTTGATAACATATTTAGTATTTCTTTTTTGACCATTGCGGGCAACCAAAAACGAGACCATGTTTCGAAGATAAATGAACTATCGATACATGAAATTAAAGCACGTTATTATTACTTAATGTGTTTGCACCTTAATATATAGCTTCACTAGATAGTATTCTACAAATGTAAACAATGCTTCAGACGTTGTTTTCTTTTTTTTTTTCATTCTTATATCTTCATATTTCGTTGAACAACTTAGAAAACAATGGATGCCGATATCATCATAATGATCACATTGTAATGTAACGTTATTGAAGTTACAATCTAGTAATCTACCTTCTGAACCAGTGCAGTTTACGTCATTTAACCAAACGGCAACATAACCATTACGTATAAGATTTGCGGGCTGCATGATTCCAGAACTAATAATAAATGTAAGACATACAGGGTAAGATACTATTCGTTACGTTCCATTCAGGGATCAATATTCTGTAAATAACTATCAATGTTCAGTTGAATGCAGACGAAATTCTAACACCTGTTCGTATAAAGAAAATGTTGCCGATATATCAAAATATTTACGCAATATCACAACTAATTCTGTATTACATGTATATATTTCATATCTGTTTTAAACGACTTACAAACACTCCCTATAGTGGGTAACAAACTAGAACTGAGCTAAACACATCAACTATAAGAGGAAATCAACGAAACAACAGAAACACAGAAGTGCAACAAAAAACAAAAACGACAATGCCAGACACACAGAAACGAACGGAGTAATCAATGGAACAAACTTAATCCAAACATTCGCAGTGTCGACTCTATTTCTAAATTTAAGAAAGAATTAAAAAACGATGGTCTTCTGTGTAAAATTGATATGTTTTATTTGTATGGCAATTGAAATATTGAATATTATCTTAACGCAATTGCAATGCTTTGCTTCATTCTTAAACAATGACCTTTTTTAGAGCTAATATTATAAATGATCCTTCTTGTCATTGCAGGTCAGATATTGAGGATGCTCACCATTACTTCCTTGATTGTCCTAAAACAAATCATGTAGAAACACCTCATTCAAAAACTTAACTGGCTATCCAAAAACTTTGTTTTAGATACAAAACTATTAATTTGCGGACACTTGGAACTTTCGAACGAACAAAATATTCAAATTTTCAAACGTGTTCAAAATTTCATAAAAAGGTCAAACAGATTTCTTGTGCCTTAATAGAGCGTTATTGTTACTTGCATGGAACATCATCATCTTCATCATAAACATCATCATCAACACACACGTTATCATCATAAGATTATATGACTTTTCATACTTTCTTTTTCTCTTTTTTTCTCTTTCTCTTCTTTTTACCTATGAAAGCTAGTATTATATTCGATAAACTGTTTGCTTAATATGCATGTCCATTATATTATACTATTATTGTAATTTTATATTGTGTTATTGAGAAGACTTCATAAGTGTTTTAATTGTGTCTAATCCATTTTGCTTTAATTCGGCAAATAAAATATGTTAAAACTAAACAGAAACGAACAATACGATAACAACTGGCCTTTTACTGACTTGGTACAGGAAATTTTTAGAAAAAATGGTGGTTTGTACCTGGTTTTGCGGCTAGCCATACCTCGCGCTTTAATGGCATCGTTAAATATAACACTAAAATGACAACTTTACATGACAGGACCATATTAATAACGCTACAAAATGACGTCACAGGTAAATGTGACGCACATGTAATTTTCTAAAAGTTTGATATAGTTAAAAATCAGGTTTCTTATCATGGAATTTGATGCATAATATAACAATTACAATTTAATTGAAATAGAATTGTGTTAGTAATTAAATAATTAATTGTATTATTTAGCTATGTCGGTATTTCTTCTAAATCAAACTATAAAACAAATAAATCGTATACATGTACGTCAAGTTGCCCAAAACTAAAATATTATAAATGAACTGGGTGATTCATTATCTTTACTTTTACATACGAATAGAATATTAAAAAAATAGAATTACAACTACAAACGATAACACATTTAACAATATCCGATCAGAATTACAAATACAACATCATACCTAAATACATTAATGTTGGATAACAAAGTACTTTGACACGTCTTATAGTAATGCGAAATCACACTCAGCAACACAGTCAAATTCGGGAATAGGTCATGGTCGGTACTTAAAAGACCAGACGACGTAAATGGCAAACAACAATCTAAGACGTTGTAAAAATGTCCTTAGTTATTTTAGACAGAGACACATCGTATGGATCAACCAATTCGTGATGGTGTAAATTTGTTTTGGCAAATTGTTTTGTTATAAATCATAGCCATTATTTTCTCAAAAAAATTGTTTCAATGTTTTCATATCCGGGCCTTTGATAGCCGACCATGCGGTATGGATTTTTCTCATTGTTGAGGATCGTACCGTTGCCAATAACTGCTTACTTCTGCATCTCCTAATTTTTATATATACAAGTATTTTACATGAAATGTACATTATCAATGTTCCATGCAAATGAGGTAAGGTCAAACAAAATCGGCCACAAAAACATGTACACTTTGCTTCCATTCCATACATCAAATATAATTGACCCGGCCATTACTTATATTATCTGAGATAAGGACTTGACCACTAACACTTTAGGTGAACCATGTATGACCGACATGTAGACCTTGCAAGGAAAATATATATATGTAACCAAATATAGCTATCCTAGAACTCATGATAAAAGATATGCGAAGGATACCAAA